CGGCAGGCGGTGGGCCTACCAGCCACCTTCCGCGCGGTGGGGGGGGGGGGCACTTTTTTGCCCCCCCCCCCGTATCTCCGAAACTACTGGACGGATCCGGAAAACTCAAACGGCGTTCGATAGCCCTGTCAAATTTGTCGAGGGAAACCAAATTTCATTGACCTCGGGGTCACCGATGACGTCACAGGTCAGGTCAAAGATAAAATGTTTCACCGTTCACGGGGCTTCTAGGGAAAGCGCTATAACACCAAGTAAAACGCATTTTGTCGAAAATCAGCGATAAGGCGTCGGTTGTCTAGAACATATGTTGCTATTAGAGGTCACTGGTCATACCAGGTCAGGTCACAGGTCAGGTCACCAAAGGTCACCAAGGGTCACCACATGAGCCCAACTTTACTAAGGTTATGCGATGCATGTTTTATGGCCAGTTTTTCATTTCCAACTCAATGGTGTTGGTTATAAGACCATCAGGTACGGTTTAGGTCACTTTCTGGTGGAGGTCAGGTCAAGGTCAGGTCAAAAAAGGTCAAATTTCAAAGTTGATATTTATGCATAAAATGGGTATCGATTCGATGCAGCTCGTCACGGGGAGTCTAATGGTGGTCTTTGTTTTGCGCTACGAGGTCTAGAATTGCTAAAAATTGAGTTTGAAAATTTGACGTTATCAATTTTGAACAGTTTTTTCGCTATAACTTGGCCAAAAAAAGAGGTATCGATCTCAAATTTGGTATGTAGATAGAAGGCGGTAGGGGCTATCACATATATTCCGGGTTTTTTTTCGAAATTCAAAAAACTTTTTGGATTTTTTGGCTATTATATTAAAAAAAAATCTATTTTTTGATTTTGGGGGTCGAAATCCAAATAAATCGAAAAACCGAAATAACAGGTTTGTAGCCCTTTAAATTTTACATCTTTTATGTCTGAAACATTTTTCTGTATCTCTAAAGCTGTAGGCCTGACAGCTCTTCCCGCGAAACCTTTTTTTGGGTCGAAAATGGCAAAAATGACGTCACTCTGACGTCATTAGCGGCCAACCTATCATAGCCTTTGGAAAAAATTTTGGTCACCATGTGCGCTAGCTGCTCCCGGGAGGGTACTGAAAGTTTGGTGACGATCGGCGCAGCGGTTCTCGAGATATATCGGAAAAAAACTAAAAGGGGGGGGGGCAAAAAATTGCCCCCCCCCCCACCGCCTGGAAGGTTAACCAGCGAATTGACTTGTAGGCCTACTAATGTTTTCAATTTTCATCCCCAATGATTCATTGATTTTGAAACAAATACAAGGGTGTGAAAGAACAGGCATGCAACAATGCTTCATCAATCACTATAACAGCGCCGCCTCAAAATCTGTTTGTTAGTCTCGTTACTGTTCAGCGGCCAGAGGACAAACACTGCTCGCCGCCGGCTCCGGCCGTAATTACCGGCTCTGAAAGCCGAGAGACGGCCGCTCATCTGCGCTTTAGCGCAAAGTTGGCGGCCACCCGGGGTGTCGAATGGGCCAACTCATGACCGCGCGGCCGGACGGGCTTTGAAGTGGCCGGCTTTGGAAGTCTGGCCGCGGAGGTACTCCATTAGATGAGCTGGGCGCGTGGGCCGGACGCTAAAGATGGCGCTGCCGTGGACGCGAGGTCATTGATCCCGAGAGGAGAGACCATTTGTTTTCCGTCAGCCATTGGGCTGTTGTCAGGCAGCTTTAGCTTCCTCCAGTAAATCTCGTAAAATGAATTACGCCAATGTTTTACTGGCTAATTAGTTGAAATCCTGTTAGATCTCTGCCCCGGATCAAGGGAAAGGCACATATCGTCGCACCGATGAATGCAGAGATAGTTCGATAGATAGACATTTTATGCAGTCCGCTGTTGAGTTGCTTGTCTCCTTGCGTTTGGAAACTGGTGCTAATTAACCGACCCGTCTGTTTTTCAACTGGACTTGGAAGTAGCTGAGTTAGGTATACTAAACAATTCAACATTTCAACAGCCAATACGGAAATGTGTGCCTTTGACTCACAGTTCTATTCAAATAAGTAACTCCATTTAATAAGCTAGACTATGAGAGACATATAATAGAGGAGCAATTTCTCAATGGTTTTCTGAAAATTATAGGATTCAATATTATTATCGAGAAATAACTAACCAAAGTTTGTTATTTGAAATTGTTTAGGAGCGATTTTACCAACTTATGTATTTTCCTTATACTGCATAATACCTGACCTTTGGTGACGAAAAAAGCAACAGTTGTCAGTTACAACATGTATTGATGTGACAGGCCACCAAAATAAACATTGTTATCAGTTATGTAACGATGCGATGACCTCTTCCGGCTGAAAACGCTCCGGGTGAAAACAGGGAGATCACAGACCACAATAGACATAGACCCAGCATAAGTCATGCCCAATATACCAGAATTAGAGTCGTCAATGGGGATCTGCGCCGCAAGTTAGGGGTACTTTTGTCCGTCAAAGCTGCATCATCAGGCAAACATATGAGCCAATGAGTACTGAGAGAAAGTATTAGGACAACAAAAGTGTTGGACAAACAAGGTGCTTCTTATTATAATATCTTGCAACTAAGTACTTGTTACGTTGCACAATGCACAACATGCATCAATAGCCAGTTGCGCATTATCTTCAGTGATTCAGCATTTGAAGGCCTGAGGCGGCAATCTGGGCTTAGTCGCATTCTTCACCGTTCACACCCCCGCTCATTGATTCACAAATAAGACTCGACCTTCTCTGCGCTCATCGACCGACTCCAAAAACCCACTGACGTCATCAGGGGGCCACGGAATGTGATCTGATTGGACGTTACGGGTCATCACCTGATTACACCGGATGCCTATTGATCAGGGACGGCCGAGACACGCTACACACGCACAGCTAGGAAACACAGATCTTCCAGCCGCACTAGCTGGCCCTCAACTCAGCAGCGGATGCAGGAAAAGGGGCATTTGCACCCCGGGAAGTGTTCGTAATCGGTGAACGTTTCAACAAGTTCCTCACACAAAAAGGCAACCTATATATTAGGTATAATAAAAAAACATCTTCAGCAGCGCATTACAAAGCAAAGATGAGCAGTAGCGGATCCAGGGGGGGGGGGGCAAAATGGGCATTTGCCCCCCCAAACGGCATAATTTTAACATTACGCCTATGGACGATGCATGGAAAGAATCGATAAATTGTTATGGTTTGTCCCCCCCCCCAAAAAAAAAAAACACTGAGCTGGATCCGCCTCTGAAGATGAGTGTTTTTATAGGTGTTGGAGAAACGTTTTGGAGTGACTGCTTGTTCCAGGGGGTTCTATGCCAACTGTTTGGGATCTGCGAAGTGCGAACGCTGCCTAGTTATACGGCAACAGCTGGAGTGCTTAGTTTCTTCAGTTTGCGTAGTTTCTCCAGTTTGCGTAGTTTCTCCAGTTTGGGGTAGAAGGGACGGAGTTACACCCGGAATCAATCTTATAAACGCCGTGGAATGGATATAGCAGTACTGGGTGAAGTTCAGCTATAAAAAACGGCTATCGAATGCAGAATGGTTTTCACGCATATCGGTCCATCTAAAATGAATTGTTTCGGTGATGAGATGTGCATTTAGCAGCAATGGTATCACTGTCAATGTTACCAAAAGCCCTGAATATAATACTCGCCCTTTATAAGATTGGGCCCAGGTGCGCTGCCATGGGGACACGGTTCGTCCTTTGTTGAATTTTGGATACGACCATAGCCACTGTGCACACTTCTGGGGGATCAAACGGCCTAAGCTACCGTTTTAATGTATCCAGTGGCCGGAAGGCTGGACGGCTGACGAAAACAGATTAAAGCCGAAACGAGACTCGAGAATTAGCGTGTTGCTACTTAGTGTGGCACTTGAAGCCATTTCGGGGCGATTAAGACCTAATTAATGGGATAGGTTACGCGAGTCGTTTTTACCCACTCAGCGGCTAACAAGGCTTGTTGACATTTGCAAACGACGCGATTTCCTCGCGTTTCACTCGTTGTTGAATGTAGTGCAGCAAATGAAATTAACGTTGCAGATATATTTGATTGATAGGATAATAGTGCTAGTCAAAAGCCTTTTGGTTAGTTTGGTAACACATTCTCTGGTCGCCGAGCGACGACTGATTTTCAGCCAATATATCCAGGCAATGAGTAATGTATGTCGGCATGGTGTGTTTGTATTTAAAAACAAGTATAAATTTACGAGCTTATTTGTACCTAGTTCATTTATGACCTGCACACCCCAGCAATGTACAGTGTGTCTAATCAATCTTTACTCATTTATAAATCTTTTGTGTTCCGAATATGAGTCTAGAAATTGGTTTACTGGTCAGTGTCACGCATTGCATTTGTAGCAATGGTCGCCACGCTTGTCGAGTTCGGAGCCAATTTCCGGGCCAGGAACTTGATATATTTTTTTATAAATATGGAAATAAAGTGGCTGCTGGCACGTCGTATTTTTCGATTATATGGCTTTTGGTCGTCGCCTAAATGCCAGCTTTTTAAAAGATGGCTGCTCACTTGCAATCATGGCGAACATCTGTTCGAAAGTCCGCTAGATTTCGAGATATTCAATCAACGCGGAGTCTCGGTGATTTCCGCAGAATATTCCACCGTTGGCGGGCTGGCGCCGGTTCGTTTGGCGGACGTCCCCTCCCGCCCGGAACCACCTAGACTCAGTCCCCCCCCCCCCCACCCCACAGGCAGAGAGGGCGGAAACTGATAAAGTCCACCCTGGATGAGTGCAGCCGGTCGTGGTTTGGGTTGAGGTGGATAAAATGGAAAGCCTAGAACTAGCGAAAGGAGACCCCTCCACGTGTGCTTACAGTTTGTATCCACGCACTCTCACACGTGATACGGTCACTTCTCAACGGTAGTCGCGGATTCAAGCTAACATAAACGGACAGCTTCTGCTAACCGAAGTTCAGAAACAAATGCAGGCAAGTTTTCAGCTGACATTTACCTATTTTGCATGTATTAATTAATTGGTTAATTAATTAATTTTTTGAACCAATTAATTAATTGGTTCTGTTTTCACGCCATTAGTACTGTCAAGCCAGCATCGCTTTTCAACCGCTTTCGACTGAAAGCGGTCCCACTTTCTTTTTACGCCTACGTCCTTACTGTTGAACTCCTGATTGATTTTTCATCTTGGCTTCTTATAGATCCATGGACCCTGGGTTTCTCAGCTATCTTGTCTTACACAGCCGCATTTCGGCGGGTGTTGAATGTCACTGTAGAGTCCCTGACCCACCTTTCTGCGTATGTGGAGTCCCTGACCCACCTTTCAACGTGTGCAGAGCCCCTGACCCACCTTTCTGCGTATGTGCAGTCCCTGACCCACCTTTCTGCGCGTGCGGACGAGTCTGGCCTCGCGCGGGTCGCGCTGCTCGAAGAGGCTGCTGGAGCTCCTGCCCCAGACCTCGACGGCCACCCTGCCGTACGTGTAGCCGAGCACCAGGACGGGCAGGAAGTACTGCAGCGTCATCACTGTGAGACTGTAGTACTGGCGGCCGGCGCTGCGCCATACCTCCTGGCACACCCGCAGATCTCCCAGCACGTACCGCGGCGAGGACGGCGTCAGAGTGCGCGACGTCACCGCGATCGGCACGCAGGCCGCCAGCGAGAGCAGCCAGATGAGCAGGATCATGAGCCGGGCGTGCGGCCGGGTGACGCGCGGTCGCAGCGGGAACACGATGGCCCGGTAGCGGTCCATGCTGACGGCGATCAGGGAGAAGGCTGACACGAACACGGACACCGCCTGGGTGAAGGAGACCAGGCAGCACATCGCCGAGCCGAACGGCCAGTGACGCAGCAGGATCACCGACGGGAACGTGAACGGCACGCAGAGGATGCTCATCAGCAGGTCTCCGGCAGCCATGTTGGCCAGCAGGTAGTTGGTCACTGTGCGCATGCGCGAACAGGCGAGGACGACGTAGCAGACCAGGCTGTTGCCGACCACGGAGAGCAGCATGATGGAGATGTAGGAGATCCAGACGGCGAGCTGCGGACGGAGAGACGGGGAGGGGTTAGTGGGGGAGCGGACAGCACCCTGATGGAGATGTAGGAGATCCAGACGGCGACCTGCGGACGGAGACGGGGAGGTCAGTTCGGGACGGAGGAGGGAAGAGCAGTTGGGGGAACGGGGGAGGGTCAGTTGGGAATGGGGGAGCAGGAGAAGGACAGTCAGTTGAGGAACGGAGAAAACTCATGGGGATGACCAATTGGAGAATGGGTAAGGGGAGGATCAGTTGGGTAATGGTAAAGTCGTTTTTCGCCGTACGGATTTATCAATATCGTATGGAAGAATCAGCTGTCAAAGACTACTTTCCTTTTAGCAATGACGGATTGACGGGTTGTCTGGGTCATCGAGTATTGCACTTTGCACTTATTCATGACTTTAACAGCACTCACGTTCACCTCCGGACTTCCCGCCACTGAGCTGGCATTGAACTATCCTTGAGCTGACACTGAACTGCCATTGAGCTGCCATTGAGCTGCCATTGACCTGTCCAAATCTGGATAGTTGCGGAAAAGTTGGGTACCGCCGCCACGAGAGCCGGTCAGGCCCATCTGGCGTACCCTCTGAGAGTCTTTGTACCCGGCGCTGTCCATTGTCGGCTGAGGTTTATATTACTGAAACCACTCTGCCCCGCCGTCGGCTCGGATCGGGGCTGAGCGGTGGCCCCACCGCGACCCGCCACATCAAACCGACGTCCGTCCGTCTGACAGTCCGGCGGCGGTGAGTCCATTACCACTGCCCGCGGTGGGACGGCCGCAGACGGTTTACGGTCCGTGCTCCAGGGGTGGGACGGCCGCAGACGGTTTACGGTCCGTACTCCCGGGGTGGGACGTCCACGGTCCGTGCTCCCGGGGTGGGACGGTCGCAGACGGTTTACGGTCCGTGCGAGTCTCGGCGTGGGACGCCCGGTTTACGGTCCGTGCTCCCGGGGTGGGACGGTTTACGGTCCGTGCTCCCGGGTGGGACGGACGGTTTACGGTCCGTGCTCCCGGGGTGGGGCGGCCGCAGACGGTTTACGGTCCGTGCTCCCGGGGTGGGACGGACGGTTTACGGTCCGTGCTCCCGGGGTGGGACGGACGGTTTACGGTCCGTGCTCCCGGGGTGGGACGGTTTACGGTCCGTGCTCCCGGGGTGGGACGGCCGGTGATTCCATTACCACTGCCCGGGGTGGGACGGCCACAGACGGTTTACGGCCCGTGCTCCCGGGTTGGGACGGCCGGTTCACGGTCCGTGCTCCCGGGGTGGGACGGTTTACGGTCCGTGCTCCCGGGATGGGACGCCGCGGGGATGTGGCTTCACTCAAATCCAACCACCCGTGATACAGGCCGAACTATGCCGCGCCTCAGTGAGTGTTTCATTTATGGCGCGGCGGCGGTGAATATACGAGCCGTGTGCCCGGGAGCGCGGTAGGATGCAATGGTCTGTGTCTGTGGGCTTTACTGCCCAACTGCACAATGCACATATACCGCATAACCAATCTACTCCGTACCAGGTTGCATGGAGGTCACACTGTGGCCGGCGAGGCCCTCAGGCAAGTGTGAATTGAAATAAAAAAGTCGGAGACTTCATTTTTGTTATGTTGTCTGGGATAATGGTCTGTTTTCAAACAGTACTAAGTCATGCTTACATATATTGTCTGATTGCTGGCTGACGCGTTTGTCCATCGTTTTGGCTGATATTGTCGTTTATTGGTCTGGGATTGTATGTGATCCGAGTTGTCAGATTATCTGGAATTTATGTCAGTGTGCCTATTTTATGTCAGCTAATACATCCTGTTGATATACATACAATACATTCGTTGTTTTCCAGACTCAATACTCTGATATTTAACCGATTATGTGAGATCTGATGATGCAGTGATTGACTAAACCGATCAGCCTACTGTCACACGGCAGCAATGCTGAAACGTTAAGACGAATGGCGGCACAGATCCTGATACCTCAGCCCAATGCACTGGCGTGCACTCCAGCGTACCGCCTTCATGATTTTTCGTGTCTTCTTCCGCCTTCATGACTGGCTATTTTCCTGTCCATACTTCTGTCTGATTGCTCCTGCAATTTTCTTAACCCGGCCGGGCCCGGGGGGTAATCCCAACCACCGCAGCCCGGGGGGGGGGGCGTTTTTCGCCCCCCCCCCCTGTCTAACTCCGTAAATAAGGGAGCTACGGAAACAAAAGCGATACCAAAGGAAAGGTCCTTACGAGACGATTCTAATGCACCTAAAATTTTTGACCTCAGGTCAATTTTCAAGGTCAGTGGTCAAGGTCAAAGGCCAAAACCGGCACATGTGTAGTGATCTCAAAAGAAGCCTTCTAGAGGACGGCAGGCTGCATCAAACCGGCAAAATTGGGTGTCAAACGAAAGAAGAGAATCTGAGGATTCTGAAAATGTGCTCCAAATCAAAGGTCAAGGTCAAGGTCACGCTCAAAGTTGACCTCAAACTTGGCACTTTTTCGCACATCTTGCGTGCTAACTTCCAAGATGTTTTGAAATGTTTTGAGGCTTATCAGTTCCCTATTTGTGGTTCATCTTACGATACAAGGCTGCTCGAAGGTCAAGGTCACAGAAGAGTATCCCTGCTAGAGGCTATTTCATTGATTCAAGTTAGTAATAATAAATAAGATAATTTTGCCATCCGGAAGCTCTAAATGAAGGCTTAGAGGAAAATAGATGCCAGATTCGTGATCAGCGGGTACAAATCCATCATAAACGACCTTTCATGTGTCAAGGTCAACCAGAGGTCATTCGAGGTCACATGAGGTCAACATGAAACTTGACCTTTTCCGAACAAAATATATATCATTCGACGCGGCTTGACAAGGCGAATGCGATGGTACCACTGCCGTAGCTCTAGGACCATTTTTGTCGAAGTTATTTGCGAAAAACTAAAACCACATTTCGGGGTCGTTGACCTGACCTCTGACCTCAGGTCACCAAAACTATTTTTCTATTTTTCTCTAGGTCAAACGCTACACAGCCGTGCTCGTAATTTGTCTTTATCTCTTAAACTCTATTTTTAGCAGCTATTTGAAGTTTGCGTCTGTGACGCCGAAGTTTGCCGTGCAGGGGTCTAGAAAAATGGACCTTGTGACGTCATCAAGGGGGCTAAGTCCAAATTTTTTACTTCAGAAGATGTCAAATTGATGTGAGAAAAGGTACTGAAAGTTTCGCCTTCCTATCCCTAAGCGTTCGGGAGTTATCGCAAATATTCGCCAGGGGGGGGGGCGAAAAACGCCCCCCCCCCGGGCCCGCGAGGGTTAACGAAGAAACCGTAACAAAACTGCCGTTGCATTTGCAAATCAATAGGGTTACCGCCGCCGCCGCCGCCGGCGCCGCCACCGTCACCGACGCCCAGCAACGTATAGGAGCCGCCGTGACACAATGCCCTCCGGCTATAAGGAGGTTTATATTGGCCCTCGGTAGCGCCGACAAATATACACACCCTTTGGGAAATGCGCCGAGCACATAGCGGATAGGGACGGTACAGAAAACGCCGGGTGGCAACTGTTACTATGGTTTCCTATATGTTCGCACATTTATGGAGAGGTGTAGAGATAACAGGGTGCAGTGATTTATACCAGTTTATGACATTGAAATGTGCGAACACATGCTATTGGTTTTATGCTCCGGTGTCGCCTTACCCATACATCTTTTGCATCAGCAATTGTGTCAGTTCGATGAAAAAAGTGAAAAATCTCACGTCCTCTCTCTTTTACCTTTGCCTCGAACCAGTGCTCGGTCTCAGGCTCGAGTCGCAGTAGGTGCAACCAGTGCTGTATAGGTTGTATACTACCGTAATTGGTTAACTCGCCTCGAACCAGCGCTCGGTCTCGGGCTCTTAGTAGGTGCACCCGGTACTCTATTACCGTACTCACCTCGAACCAGCGCTCGGTCTCGGGCTCTTAGTAGGTGCACCCGGTACTCTATTACCGTACTCACCTCGAACCAGCGCTCGGTCTGGGGCTCGTAGTAGGTGCACCCGGTACTCTATTACCGTACTCACCTCGAACCAGCGCTCGGTCTGGGGCTCGTAGTGGGTGCACCCGGTACTCTATCACCGTACTCACCTCGAACCAGCGCTCGGTCTGGGGCTCGTAGTAGGTGCACCCGGTACTCTACTACCGTAATGTTGGTTAGCTCACCTCGAACCAGCGCTCGGTGTGCGGCTCGTAGTAGGTGCACCCGGTACTCTATTACCGTAATGTTGGTTAGCTCACCTCGAACCGGCGCTCGGTGTGGGGCTCGTAGTAGGTGCACCCGGTACTCTATTACCGTACTCACCTCGAACCATTGCTCGGTGTGCGGCTCGTAGTAGGTGCAGCCCCAGGCGCGGTACTCGGCCGGCGTGATATTGGCGTGCCCGCACACACAGGCCTGCATCAGCGCCGAGCCGCTGAAGTTGAACTCCACGCCGTCCCGGTGCAGGTCCAGGCACGACTCGTTCGGCCAGAACCACACCTCCGTCAGGTTAGACGGCTCCAACATGGCCGCCACGGTGGTGAGGTTAGCCTGATCCAACATGGCGGCCAGCGGAGCGTGACCTGAGCTCAGCGCGTCACGAGGTTTGACGCTGGCGAGGCCTGCAGAGGTAGTCGAGTTTTGACTCCTGAAACGGAGAGAAAATGAAGGTTAGATTTTTGCTACAGCTAGCGTCAGATATGATGTACCTAAATAGATGTTGATTAGTTGTTTAATTTTTTAAATAAATAGTTGCTTTGTCTGTCGTCCATTTTTTCTTTTAATTTGGTCCGAACTTTTTGATAGGCAGGATTCAAATCACAAGGACAGAGCCACCGCTAAGCGAAGCTTGTTGCGTTGACCCTGCCCTCTTCCTTCCGATCGCGCAATTCCAGTTCTATGGCAAACTTTGGTGTCCGAAGTTTAACGTGCGCACATAGCCGCTCACGGCCGGTCCTCTCACTGACTTCGCCTGGCTACGGCCTGCCACCAACCGCAACCATACCTGCCAGGAGGCCCATAAACGTCAAGCGCCCGTCTTGCTTCGAACCCGGACTGTTATACCTAACACGTGCTCTCACCACGCGGAGTCCAACACTCTACCACCTGAGCTACGGGACCGGGCTACGTATACCTGACATAAAAATTGAGGTCCGCAGTGAAATTTCGTCACTTGTTACCTTGTTAGTTGATCTTTTAGATTATGTTTCGCTTCCCTGTTAGGAAAAAAAAAAACGCCAGTGTCGGAAAACGGATCCGGCAAGCGAGGTCGCCTCACATTACGGCAATGTCAACAGCCTCCTCGCTCCCGCATACCTATGTACACAAAACTTCGCTCTGCTGACGTCTAACTTTGCAGACAAACTTTGAGCACGGACTGAGTCGAACACGGGGCAGGACATCGCTCTGACGGACGGTGTGTCTGTATCCGCCTTCACATGACAAACTCTGATTGACTAAGAATGGCGTCTCGAAGTCGTATGTACGTTTAAATATGCAATCTGCATGTGAACCAAACTAAACTGCAGGGTTAAACCAGCCAGCCGGCCAGACCGCTGTTATTCTACCGGCGGGTTCGGAGTCGACCCAGACTCGCCTGGGCGGCTCGTCGAATCATATAACCGTTCTGTGTCTGGTGTATTGTGTCCAGTAGGTATCCAGTGTCCAGTGTCCAGTGTCCACATTCAGTGTCCACTAGTTTCCAGTGTCCAGTGTCCTGCAGTGTGACGGTGTGCCCCTGCACTGTTTGCCGCACCGGTCAGCGTCCGATCCTCTCTACCCTCGCCGCCTCTTTCCTCCTCCATTGCCTCGCAGGATAATGGGATGGCCCGGTCATAAAGCCCCAAAAAACAACACAGTGCCGGCCTAGGATCGGCGTTTGAGCCGGAATCACCAACGCCACCGCAAACACAAACACATAAACGGCCATTGAAACGGGCATTGGATCCAGTGTAAGCTGACATTTAGAAGTGGCTTTGCCTTGCGCTAAAAGCTCGTCATTAGCTTCTGAGCAGGCAAAGCAAAAACAAATTTGGTTCTTTACTCTTGTGTGCTCTTTTCACAACTGTGTAGTATTGACTACTAAAATATAGGCAGTGGTTGACAAGTACCGGATGCGTAGAGTACAATAATAAAAAGTTTCACTCAGTCAGTTTCACGAAAATACATCCCTCTCACCTTGCAATATTCCAATTCAGTTATGAATTCCGCCTTATGTAAGACTGCAGCGAACAGTGACAACTTCTTAACTGTCATAAGGAATATTGGATATTGGACGCACGTAATATCAAACTAAGGTAGCTATGCCGTGGAGCAGACAGACGGGGAATGTGCCATTGGACATAGATGGCAAGTAACTAGCTGCCTATTTGGCCACAGGAACATATTGAAAACGAACGACCGACTATTCTGCTTCCTTGGCTTACGTCTATATAGCCTCGTTTCCGTCCAGTTAATTTCACCTGCGGCGTTCTTAGCGCAGCGCCGGCGATTGGAGAGTGTTCTCTATTCTGTCACTGCGCGGACCGTTCGATATTCCATACACAGATTGAGAGCCGGCGCTGGCTGGCCGAGCCAGTTCTGAATGTGCGGCGATAACATGCTCCAATCTGCCGACACTTGAACGGCAGAGTGGACGAGGCAGTGAAATTATTCCGAGATGTTTGGAGGCAGCAAACGATTGAGCTGCAGCTGGAGCGACCGGTTTCACAGCCTCGAGGAGTTTATTTGTCAACGTATAGCAAAAGGCCAGGTGAAATTACGTGTTTTTAATTTAGATATTAGAAATCCCACAGCACTGTTCAGACGGAGTTTCTAGTTCTGAACAGAAGTTAGTGTTCAGCGATAAGAATTGCGTGGTAGCGAAAGATCATTAATGAACATACATGATATGTTTATAACAGCCATTAGCATTAATTACCTTTTTTGTTACGATATGAAATCGATATTTCTAGAGAAAAGGGGGCCACTAGGTAATTCATTATTTATGACCATCAACATTCTAGGTTCATATATCTATAGTTCTAGTGAATGTTACATGATGCATCCCGCATAATCTCATGATACATTAAATATTTAACAGTTTCATATCCTCTGGTGTGATATAGCATCCGAACTTAGAACGGGTCAGTTGGTGCCACTGCAGCCGTGTTTCAGCCACCCGAATCTCAATCAATAACTGACGAGAAACAGCCTGCAATGAAGTATGTGCAATGAGACGGAAGTGCTACAGCGCGGCACGCGGAGATGCCGCACGCGGAGATGCCGCACGCGGAGATGTGGGGGTAACCTAGAATCAAGAATGCAGGTTTTGGGTATGCCGGTATTTTGGCGTTTTTTTTTTTTTGCTTGGGGCGTGGTAGCATGCCGATATCCCAAAAAAAAATTGTTGGGGCGGGGCGGTACCGGTAAAAGCCTTTTGGGAAATTTTTGCAACTCTAGCCAGAATGTTCGCGGGATCGCAGCGCCTCGCCGTACTTGGACAATGGACAGTTAGTAAACCACTGAGTGATCACGCCGTCCTCCCTAGGGGACGCCGTTCACTGTTCAGGATTCCGTTTCCTGTTATTGTGGTACGTGCGGTTCTACCCCTTCCAGCCTGGGGATATAATAGCCTCACTGGTGGTGCGTCCTAAAACACTACACAGCCTGGGGTCAGCTGCAGGCAGTGAGGCTCATCGACTGACCGATCGCTGGTCGACCCCCAGCTGCTTCGTCCGTCTGGCCGGTCACGTCATTCGTGCCTCTGGCCAAGCAACATTCGGTACCGGCAATTCAAGGCGAACATGGAAATCGGAATGCACTCATCTTTGCTTAGAACCATGCATCTAGCTTATTATATGCAAAGTTGATGCATACATATATTTAGGCATACATTCATTAATATATCGACGCGAATTGTTTGAAGAGTACCTGCATGCATGGGTGGCACGACGTTAAAACAAATCAGCATACCAACTGCATGCCTTAGAATCCTGTTCTGCAATATTGCCTGCTCGCTCGTTATAGCTCTGATATGGGTCGTTGTCATGATTTGATGACCGTCGCTTTGCAGCTATTGAACGTGGAACTGGCTGCAATGCAGTGGCGGCGGAACACCTTCAATTGGGGGGGGGGGGGGGGGGGCACTGCCGACTTTTGGTCCCATTCTTTCCGTGCCATGCCCATAGGACTTATGTTAAAATGTCAAAATCAAAGGGGGCACGGTGCCCCGGTGCCCTCCCCCCCTTTCCGCCGCCTATGCTGTAATGGTACGCAGTAGCCCCCTCCCCCCGACCACCTCCGTCCACCCTGCCCCCACTAAAGCTCCCTCCCTCTATCCCTCCTCCCTCCATCCCCCTCTATAACCATTGATCTATCCCTCATCCCTCCATCCCCCTCTATAACAATTGATATAACCCATGACTCGCAGGCTCCTAAGGCTAGATCTCACGAGCTCCAGAGTTTTCGCTCTACGAATCTCCCGGTTTTGCCATATGCAGGGCGCAGAAGCTCCGATCATTTCCGGAATTCAGGAGGCAGTAGCTGAGCGCGCTGAGGCGTTTTCAATACATCAGCCCGATAAGATGGTAAATGAGCCGGTCAGTCATTGATGAACTGCAGGCTGAACGACGCTGGACCGGCCGACCGGGTGGGTCAGCAGTGCGGGTGGCGGGACTGCGTGGGTGGTATGGGTAGAGGCCACGGAACTCCCGTGGCCATTGGCGGGAGACTGACGCAGACTCACATATCGGTAATGCGGGCGAGCTGTGGCTGACTGATATTTAATTCGGTGATCTATTGATATCGATCTTACTGCTGATTTACTGACGTTGGCGCCGAGACCTAAGTTTGATTGGATGGAGAGCGGTGGTGACTGCTGAGTTTATTATTAAAATGATTGGTTGATACATGCTGTTGTTTATATGAACACTGTTACTATACCTGCGTTGCAATGCTGACTGCAGAGTTGGTAACTGAATTGCTGGTATATTGATGCTGTGAATTGCAATCGATGTTGAAAATGGCACTGCCCCTGTGACGATAGGTATTGGAGCTGCTGTTTGCTCAGACTGTGTTCCCCGGTCTCGCGCCGATGTTGACTTTGATGATGAAGTGGCGCTGACCCTGACCCTGGAGACAGAGTCTCAGCGATACTGCGTGCAGGAAACACGTGGAGCCGGAGCACTGGTGACGCTGACCCTGACCCTGACCCTGACCCTGACCCTGGAGACACAGATAACCCCAGCGATACTGCGTGCGGGAGGCACGGGGAGCCGCAGCACTGGTGACCCTGACCCTGACCCTGGAGACGCAGAGGACTCCAGCGATACGGCGTGCGGGAGGCTGTCGTCAGGGCACCGATTGGCTTTGTCAGGCCGCGGCCGGTCAGTCACCACCCTACACCGGGAAAACTGCACGAATGGATACAGCAGCGGCAGTGCAGACAGCGAGATGACCATCGCTGTAGATCTCACTCACATGCTTAACAATGAATCGACATCCCTGTAACGTTATAGAGTAGACTGTGGCTGAACCTACTATAATCCTGATCACGTGTCTGAGCCTCGGGTGCTGGTGAGACAGCCTCGAGCCTCGGGTGCTGCTGACTGACAGCCTCGAGCCTCTGGTGCTGCTGAGACAGCCTCAAGCCTCGGGTGCTGGTGAG